ACAGTTTGTAAACTGTGAAAGGAAGTTCATAGCAGATGCTAATGTGGGGCTAGACACATGACACAAGGAAAGCCCCACATATTCATTTAGCAGCAGCTAATTTTGAGAAACTGATGGGAATGCATGCAGGACTTATGGGGATGACTCTAAATTTCTAAACCAGAGGCAGGATGGAGCCATGGGTCCAACCTACGAACAGTTACTTTCATTTAATCAGTGCATACTATGTCCTGGGCACTGTGCATGTGGCTTTATTGATCACAAAAGTTAGGATAAAGTTTGGTTGTATGTATCAGAAATCCCTAACAGCACTAACTTAAGTACATAGGAGCTTAAGGGGTAGTGACAGAGGGCTGCCTCTGGGCTTTTGGTGTCATCGGGACCCAGTATCTTTCTGTGCATCTGCCATGTCATGCAAGACTTCCATTTTTAATATTACCTCATGGGCCTGGCAAGATGCTGGAGCTCCAGCCATCACATTCTTATTCTAGCCGAAGAGAAAAAGGAAGGGGTGGAGGGAGGAGGACAAAATAAGTGTACCTTCCACCTGATTTAGTTTCTTCTCTCAGGAAGCAGCAATCTTCCTGCTTGGGTCTGCAGCTATTTAAAATCCTCAACTGCACCAAACATCCACAGCCTCACATCTGGGCTTATTTCCACTCCACTTCTTCAAAGCCCTGGTGGGTTTCTCTAATCACCATCAGTCTGGGGTGGGGAGGGCCCCCAGCAGCCTACACATGGAGGTGGGGGTGCCTTTAAGGGACATTCCTGAAAGTCCCACTAAACTGCCAGCATTACAGCTGAAAAAGGGCCAGGAGGAGGGCGTACCCAGATCCTGCACCCAGGAGTGACTCACATCACTGAGGCTCACGTTCCATCGGTCAGAATTCACAGAGCTGGGAAATACAAGGTGTGCATCAGGGAGTTCACTGATGCCCCACATACAGCTGGGATGAAGTCTCTAAGGCAGAAGTGAGAACAAACATTAAGCTGTGCCCTGGAAGCAGCTGCCACCTACGGAAGCTCATTAGAGTTTCACTCTTGTTGCCCAGGCTGGAGTGCATTGATGCGATCTCAGCTCACTGCCACCTCCACCTCCTGGATTCAAGTGATTCTCCTGCCTCAGCCTCCTAGTAGCTGGGATTACAGGCATGTGCCACCACACCCAGCTGATTTTCTATTTTTTTAAGTAGAGATTGGGTTTCTCCATGTTGGCCAGGCTGGTCTCGAACTCTTGATCTCAGGTGATCCACCCACTTTGGCCTCCCAAAGTGCTGGGATTACAGGTGTGAGCCACTGCACCCAGATGCATTGGTGCTTTTTTTATAGCAAGGAAGCTGGTGCTCAGAGAGGTGAAGTATTTCATCCTAGACCACAAAGCTTGGATGAGGCTGAGCCCAATACTGACCCACTGTGTGCTGTTGGTGCAGGGTGGGCACACCGGGCAGGGCCCATTGGAGGACCACGGGATGCCACTCACCTCCCTTTCTCCTTGGAGTGCCTACAAAGAAGCCATGCCCTCCCTCTACCTGTGCCGTGGTCAGGAGCAAAGGCTCAGGTGTTCCCTGAGGTGGGCCTGTTCTGGAGCAAGGCAGGGAGGACAGACCTGCATGGCTGGAGGAAGATTATTCTCAGAAAGGGCATGAGGGAAGAGGGCTCTTGGTACCCATAGATGGCCTCCATCAGGCAGCTGTGAGGGGTGATTTCGATTTTGCCGGCAGAGCTTGACCCCTCCGGCTGTATCAGGATCTGGGAGGGAGCTCATCCTTTCCCCGCCAGCATGTCCTCTGGAGTCGCTAGTGCCTGGCCCAGTTGTTTCTCTGCACAGCGGCGTAGGTTCAAGGCTCAGGCAATGGGTCCCCTCCCTGGGAGGCAGCTGCAGGTCTCTGGTTCTGAGCCACATAAACATGGATCGCATCTCCTGTGGCCCTGGAAAGGACGCCTTTGCAAAACCACCCAAAGGAGCGGCCACTGGGGAATGAGGAGGCACCCACGGCCCGGAAAGTGTTCCAGTGTCAGGCTCAGGGGCCGGCCACCACCTGCTGAAATGAACATCGTAGCTTGGCTCTGGAAACTGGTGTCACGGACACCTTATGAAGTGTTCCCTGGAGGCCAGTGGGATCCTAAGGTATAAATGACCAGGAGAGGAAGGGAAAAGGGCCTCATGGCCATTAGGGAATCTGGGTCTATGAAGACAGAGGCTTCAGTGGGCGAGATCTCGGAGAGGCAGGTGGAGAGGGAGGGGGCGTTTACAAGTAGAGAGGTTCTAGCATCAGTGGTCAGGCCAGGAGGACAGCTGGGTCACCAGCCTCGCCTGTAGCAGGTATAGTTGTTCAGGTCTGACCTTCCTGGCCTCTTCCCCTCCTCCTGGGCTTAGGAGCCTTCTGCATGGCCAGGAGGGCAGCTGTCAGGGAGCAATGTCCTCCTTGGCACCACTTCTGTGCCCATGCCCTTGGTCCGGCACCCAAGCCATGAGTTTGCTCTTTCAGGGGGTTCCCATTTGCTTCTGTGCTAGTGTCCTGGGGCAGGTGGAGCAGACGCCATACACGTGGGGTGGCTTCAACAGCTGGAAGGTATTGTCTTGAGGTTATGGAGCCTGGGAGTCAAGATCAAGTGTGAGTATGGCTGGTTTCTTCTGAGGTTGGAGGGAGACTGCCCCACATTTCTCCCCGTGGCTTGCAGGCACCATCTTCTCCCGGCATCTTCTCGTGACCTTCCCCTTTTGTGTCTGAATCCAGATTTCCCCTCTTTAACAGGCACGGGTCATGGCTGTGCTGAAGTTCACTGCACTACTCACATCTGCAATGACCGTATTTCCAAAGATGGCCTCGAGCCGAGAAACTTGGGTTTAGAATTTCAACGTATGAGTTTGGCAGGGACACAGTTTAGCCTGGAGCAGCCCTTGAGTGGATTCCATGTGCTCCGGGGCGGGGGCGGAGTCTCACAAGTCATCTGTAGCAGGCACATTAGGGGCGCTTAGGAATTTGGAGCACAAGTCCCTCGGGATAAAGGTCATGGGAAGAGCTGGCCTGGTCCCCCTCTGGATCACGCAGGCACAGTGCCAGGATGTGCGTCTGCTTTGTACATGGATCTATTCCTGTGCTGCAGCTTCCTCTCCCACTGAAAAGTGGGGCCCCAGCGAATGTTGGTGACTCCTACTTCCATGAGGCCATTTCCCTTCTGCCCTCATTCTTTCTCCCAGCTCCCTGTGAAGCAGCCATTACCGAGCCCTCTGTATGTGTGGGCCACATGGCTGAGGAGGCTGGAGTGGGCCTGGCTTGCCTCACCTCACGGGTCTGCTGGATTCCAGCACCCACATCCACTGGGCTGGGCACCTGCTCCCACAGCATCAGCGGGCAAAGCCAGGGTGCAGACTACGGGCTCCCCGAGGGCCTCAGCTCACACCGCTGCCAGCCAGCCCTGCCTTGACTTCTAAAACAAGGAGTGCACGTGGGCAGCTGTCGGGAGGCCACAGAGGCTGGGCCCAGGGGATTGGACATTTCTCGGGCAATCTGGGGGTCACCTGGGGCCTCTCTCAGCAAGTGGGTGGGAAGACGGGAGGAGGAGGGGAGGATGTGTCCCAGATGTCAGTGACAAGGAAGCAGGCCCCAGCCGCTTTGGGGCTCCACCAGTTTTCAGATCTACTTGTGCCCCACTCACATGGCTTCACCGATCATTACAGGGCAGCAACAGCTCAGCCTCGGCCTCCGACTGCCTGGGGCGGCTTCCTCGGGACCAGAAAAGGCTGCTCAGGGAATTAAATTCTGTAGAGCGGGACAGTGAGTTTATAAGAGCTGAGTACACTTTAAACAGACTAAATAAACATTAATAAGCTGTAAAGAGCATGGACTTCATGAGAAAATAGAGGCCAGCCGACGAGTGGAATTAAACATACGGCAGCCTCAGCCAAGGACCTGGTGACGCAGCAGGTGCTGAGGGAGGAGGACTGAGCTCCCAGGTGACCAGCCAGGCCTGAGGAGCAGGGACCTGCCAGACCCAGCCCGCCACTGGCCCAGGGCTCCTGGTGGTGGGAACCTGGAAGCCCTTTCAGATTCCAAGGTGAGCACAGCCCCATGGGGTTGGTGGGGAGAGTGGGGGAGCACCCTGTGGAGTGACCAGCTGGGAGACCTGGGGCGCTGGGACTCCTTGCAGGGAAGCGGCACTTGGTGATGCCTTCGGGGACCTTGGCTTTGCTCCTCCACTCGCCCTGGAGACAGGATGCTCAGGTCCCTCGGGGGGGTCACCCCTCTCCCATTCTCAGTGCCGACACTGGCAGGGGGTTGCTGGTCTCTCCAGCTCCAGGACCGGACATGGGACTCTGTTCTGGCCCATCACACACAGGGCCACAGTGAAGTGTTTGGCATGGGTGTGTGCCCTGGTCAGAGTCCGCCAGACGCAATGAGTCTCAGCCTCGGCCTCTTGGGAAGGGATATGCTTTTTTTTTGTCCTGGAACTTAATGCTGGTTAAGTTGGGTTTTCTATCACTTGCCTTTGGAAAGGCACTGATTGATACGAGGTCGGGCTAGGGCCATGTGTGTAGATGTGAGCTCATGCACAGATGTCTATGTTAGAAAGGAATCAGGCCCAGGCCTTGCCAGAAAACATATAATCTGGGCAGGGAGGCTGAACGTAGCCATGGCAAACACATAGTTACCACTCCCAGCAGGAATTTCCAGAACCTCAGTGGGGACCGTCCAGAGCTCCAAGAAGGGAGCGACCGTGGGAGTTCAGAGAATTCAGGAAAGGCTGACTGGACGAGATGGGGTCTTGTTCCTGGATGGCATCATAACCCTCTATTTCTGTTTGACACTCCTGAGAAACTTCACAAGGAGGAGTAGACCTCAGTCTTTCGAAGCTCTCAGCATGCTTATGCAATCCTGTTTCATTCCTGGCTCCAGCATTTTCCCAAGGAAGACTCACTAAGGCTGAGCACCAGGAGAAAAATCTTCTTGGATCATCTTAAGAGAAACCATCTCTTCTCTCTCTTTGTGCCTTTTCAGGCCTTTGCATCAAGACCAACTTAAAAATGAATGCCCCAGTGAACCCTTCCCCGACCTCTAAGAAGAACAGAAGAAGAGGAAGGTAGGTCTTCCTCTTTTGAGTTCCTGCCAAGCAAGAGGTTGAACATGTGAAATATCTGCAGGTTTTAGCTGCACCTCCTGGCTTGGGAGCCTGTGGAGGGCAGGACCTGCCATGTATCAGCTTAAGCAAAGGAGCAGAGACTCACTGATGGCTTCATAGGCAAAGGCCGGGCCTATGGGTGGGAAATAGGTGTGACAAAGGCAGGAAATAGGTGTGGCAAAGGTGGGAAATAGGTGTGGCAAAGCAGGTGACCAGGAGGGTGGGGCCTTCCATGGGCTGATGCTGTCTACACAATAGATGCGTCTGCATTACTCAGAGACCAGACTGCCCCCCAGGCATCTAGCAATGCAGGTTAAATCCTCAGATCCAGAACAGATGCCTCTTTACAAGCCATTCAGCCTACTTTTGGGCTGGAGGGGCTGTTTGAGAAAAACACTGGAGGCACATCAACTCTCTGTCCCAGAGATGTTTTGGAAACAATTCATCTTCCTCCAGGACTGATTGAACTGCAGAGGAGTCACAGGACTTGGCGTTTAACAAGGGAAAACCCTGTCATTAACATACAGAAGCTTCTAGGCCATGAAGACAACGTGGGCAGAAACTCCCACAAATACAAGATCCTCTATTTCCCCAAGACTCAGTCCTGTGAACTGGGAACTCCTTTGGCAGTTGGGCACGTTTCTGTTCTGCAGGGATGTGGCAGGTGGATCAGGCAGGCTGAGGACCTCACAGCAGAAATGTCAGGACATATTGAGGCAAAGTTGCAGCAGAAGGGAAGATGAAGCTCGTTGGAAAGCGAGTCAGCCTAGGGGAAAACAGAATTCAATGCAAGTGAAAAAGAAGTTGATGAAAAAGTATGTCAGTCAGTGCGGGTGTTTCCTAAATTGAGATCAAAATGCACCAGAAAAAGGCTCTTGGGGAGTCTTAGCAAATCCCTCATGGAAGAAGGGATGCCTAAAAATAAAATCTCCTTGGCATGGAAAGGTGAGGGGTGAGGAGGGCATCTCATGAGGGTGACTGGCTGGCAAGGAGGGTGAAAAATGAGTTCTGGCTCAGCCTGGAGCTCTGTGCCTGGGTCTGGGGCCGGAGGATAAAGAGGCTGCAGGAATGAGCCGGAGGAGTGAGGAAAGGAGAGTTGAGAGCATCTCCAGCCTCCTGTGTGAGTGGAATCCAACCTGCTTTGGGTTGTGGGTGATTCCAGGCGTGAAAGAGGCACAAGGAAGCTGTGGAGGGTGGAGAGGAGGACTCCTGGTGTCAGGAGGAACTCATCAGCTTCAGGAATTTCTCAAGTAGATTGTTAATCACCAATGCCCACCTTAGAGACTGTTCTCATGGTCAGGCACAAGGAAGGGTGTGTGCCGCATTGCTGAGAAGTGCCTGTGTGTACCAGCTCTTGAGTCTCTGCCCCTATTGCTCCTATCCCAACCCTGGCCTGCCCTTCAGTGGCACATGGAGGACTCCAAGAACAATGCCACCACCTTGGCAATAGTTTATTGGCCCAGCATGGGTGTCTGGCCCAGGCTAGGCCATCACATCCCTTCCATGGCAGCTTTGGAGTTGGGACAGACAACAGTCTCTCTTTGTGTGGCTGAAGCAGGAACACATCCGATACCAAAACTGTTAGAGTCCAGTTTCTTCCATGAGGTCTGGAAAGCAAAACAAACAAACAAACAAACGAAAAAACCAAAACAAAAGAAAAGAATTAAATCTGCAGCAGGAGAGGAGACTGAAACAGATGTGCACAGAGAAGCATGAGGTATTTCAAGCACACTGACTCCTGGATCAAGCCATTCCTGAAGCCCATCACAATCCCTGTTCTTACCATTAACTCTTCCCTGAATTTGGTGAGATCCCTCAAGATCCTTCAGAAAACCCTCTTTTAGCTTCAGTAGGCTGGAGTTGGGTTTCTTTCAGGCATCACTTCAGAAGGGAAGGAATAAGTGGGGAGAAGAAAACCTCTGGGGCACATGGCTCCCTCGCTGACTTACAACACCCATCTCCCACTCTCCTGCCTAAGATGATGCTTTCTTCATTCCATATCTAATTCCTCTTTGGTTCTGAAACTGAGTCCAGTCGCCCAGCTTAGGGATCTCAGAAAGCCTGTGCTTTGAGAAACCAGGTGTTGCCCACTTGCAGTTAAAACTGGGTGTACTATCCCTGACCTTTTTCTCTGATCCAGGACCCAGAAAACCTTTTAAAGAAAGATGCCAGAGCATGGGTAGGTTCCTTCTGTCACAGACAAACCTAAGGTCCCTCAGACTGGCAGACTTGGCAGACTATAAGTAAACATTCATATGCCCATAAGTAAACATTCAAGGGGCATATGACCTGTGGAGGAGAGCCTTGGAGAACTGCAGCTGGGCAAGGGCAGGGAGGAATATGGTTGAAAGCACAAACAGCCTGGGCTGTTTCAAGGCTGGGCAGAGAAGTCTTCAGCACACTTGCAAGAGGCAGAAGTGTGAGAGAGAAAATGGATTAACCTGAACAACCCCCTCCAGCATGAAATGTGCTCATAAACAGAGTCAGCTTTCCGTGGAGCTCAAGCGGAAAGGTTAGAGGAAGCCCCAGGGAAAGGCATTGCTCAGAAAACTGCTGGCTACCAGGGCTGGCAGACGTGTCTCCTTCAGCACTCAGGACAGCGCCCTCCCCTTTGCGGCTGGCGCATGAACCTGTGCTACACTCAGGAAATAGATGGAAGGCCCTGGTGGAAGATGATTGGAATCCTTAACTGCCAGAGTTGGCAATGACCTTCAGGATAATAGAATCCAGCGCTTCAATTTTCTAGATGAGGAAGCTTAGCTGGGATGGGGGAGGTAACTTGCTCTGAGTCATGCCGTTGGCTTGTGTCAAAGCAAGGGCTGGAATTCAGGCACTTAAGGTTTCCACACATCTCCTGTCTCAATACGCCAAACAGAACGCCCACCCCTCATCCATCATCCCACAGCGAGCAGCATGGATGTTACGGAAGGAAGCAGGATGGCCATTAAGAGTAGCAATGCGGGTTCTGTGGCTGGTCTGTCAGTGGCACTGAATTGGGTAAAGATTTTTAACCACTTTCAGCCTCAGTTTCCTTATTTGTAAAATGAAGATACTCTTTCCTATACCTATGTAAATTGGCTGTTATGAGGATGTAATGAGACGACGTCCACTGGAATGAAAAGTTACCCGCTACTTTAGAGGGGAGGAGACTGAGGTTCAGAAAAGTTTGGAAATGTTTCCACTGAAATGAGGGCAGCGAAGGGTCAGAGGTCAGTTTGCTGCTGCTCCACAGGTCCCTGAGCCATCGTTGATGTTTTTCCACCTTTTTTTCTCTCTCTTGTCCAGGTGAGATAATTCCCTACTGAGATCTTCATGTTCCCTGGCTCTCTTCTCTTTCGTCTTTCTTCTGCTATTGAGCCTGTTCAATGAAGCTTTTTTTTTTATTACCACGATTATATACATATATAATATATATTTATAAATATATATTTTAATATATAAATATATATTTCTCATGTCTTTACTGAAATTTTCTTTCTTTCTATTAGTTTCAAGAGTGTTCCCTCTTCCTTGTGGGATAATATTTATAGCAGATGCTTTAAAGTCTGTATGAAAATTCCAATGTCTGTGCCACCTGGGCATCTGTGTCTATTAAGTTGTCTTTCTGGTGGGTGTTGAGGCGTTTCTGGGTTTTGGATGCTGAGCGATTTGGGATGCATCCTGAATATTCTGAACATTGCATTATGGGTCTCTGGGTTAACAATGAAATCTTACTGAGAACGTGATATCTTTGCTAATTTGGCCGGCTCACATCTAGTTATGTTTAAGCCCCTAGTCATGCCCAGCCTGCTGAGGGTCACTGTTTTGGCACCAGTTTTGTTTTTGGTCTTGGTATTTGGATCTGTCCTGCCCGGGTGTCACTCAGAGGCCAGCTTGGGACCCAGGAGCTAGTCTGTCTCTTAGTTCAGATCTCAGTCATTTTCCACAGTGTATAGGATCAGATCCACGCATGAGCAGCTTAAGAATAAGTCTAGAAGTTGCCCAAGCTCTCCCTCTCTGCAATCTCCCTGGGATTTTCTGATTCCTTAGAACTCCCCTTTCAGCTTTATTTAAACTCTGGTCTGCCATGTACTTCCTGCAGCTAATCCTGCCTGGGGGCAAATGGTGAGAGGACAAAGAGAGAATAAAAGAAATGGGGGTTTATCCCACTCTCTCAGGACCACAGCCCCCACCTCCAATCAGAGAGGAAGCTTCTCCTGTCTCGAGGTTTTAGGCTCCTACGGGCTCTTGCCCTTGCTCTTACTGTTACTGCCACAGTGGGACTGCTTGGGGACTGGGGCATGAAAGAACAAAGGAGAGAAAAGAAAGGGAGATTACCCTGCCTGCCCTGAATGTTAGGGACTCCCTCTGCAAACCAGAACTGGAGGGCTTTTCTGTAGCGCCTCTGCCAAAGTGATGTTGATTGTGGGTTATGGGTCTGTGTTGAGTCTAGACTGGGGGTAACCTCACTGTCAGGCCCGTGAGGTGTTGACTCCTGGCCTTTGTCCTCAGTCGGGCTGCTGCCTGCGTCCTGCTACGGCTCACAGCTGCGTTCAGCGGAAGAGACAGGGGAGGGTGTTTTCTCCGTTTATCCTCAGAGCTTGGTTTGGGTGCAGATCAGCATGACTTTAGCATCCACTTGCTCCCTGGAACCCTGGCCTTTTGTGTGTTCCCAGTGAGTCCCTGAGCTTCTCCATAAAAGAGGTAGGGACATCCACAGTAGAATCGTCTTAGAGGGCCAAGGGCAGGTAACAGAACATCTACGACATTAAAAGGCCGCAGTCATGGCACGAGACTGAAACCGCAGCACCTGCCCCAAGGCTCCCTGTGAGGAGATGAGAAGCTGTCAGGTAAGGCTGTGCATTCTCACACTCACAGGAAGAAGAAGCTGGAGGACAGTCAAGCCCCAAGGCACCCTAGGCGTGTAGCAGCCCAGGGCCGGTGACGCGAAGCCCTCAGCCTGCCTGAGACTCTCCTGGCCACTTGGCAGTGGCCTCTGGTATAATTTTCTCCCAGTGACTTATTTTCTCTGTTGTTAGTTTCCTGGGGCTGCCATAACCATGTGCCACAAACTGGGTGGCTTAGACCAGCAGTCCACAACCTTTTAAGCACCAGGGAGCAGTTTCATGGAAGACAATTTTTCCACAGACTGGGGGTGGGGAGATGGTTTTGGGATGATTCAGGTGCCTTACATTGATTGTTCATTTTATTTCTACTATGATTACATAACATATATTAAAGAATTATATTTTATATATTACATATATGATCATATTATGATTATATAACAAAATAATTATAGGACTCACCATAATGCAGAATCAGTGGAAGCCCTGAGCTTGTTTTCCTGGAACTAGTTGGTCTGATCTGGGGGTGGTGGGAGGCAGGGACATATCATCAGGCATTAGATTCTCATGAGGGTGTGCAGCCTAGATCCCTCCCAGCACAGTTCACAATAGGGCCCCTGCTCCTGTGAGAATCTCGTGCCACCACTGATCTCACTGACAGGAGGCAGCATTCGGGCGGTGATGCGAGCACGGGGAGAGGCTGCAAACACAGAGGAAGCTTTGCTGCTCACCTGCCACTCACCTCCGGCTGTGCAGCCTGCTTCCTAATGAGCCATAGACTGGTACAGTCCATGCCCCGGGGGCTGGGGAACCCCTGGCTTAGGCAATAGACACTGACTGTCTCCCAGCATCCAGGATCAAGGTGCGGAAGGGTTGGTTCTTTCGAGGCTGTGAGGAAGCCTCTGTTCTGGGCCTCTTCCCAGCTGCTGGAGGCTGCAGGCATTTCCTGGTGCTCCCTGGCTCCTGGAAGCAGCATCCCCACGTCTGCCTTCATCTTTGCCCGGCATACTCCTGGCGTGCACGTGTGTCCACATTTCCCTTTCTGTAAGGGCACCAGTCATGTTGGATGAGGGCTGTGAGCAATGGTCCTGTTTCCACCTCAGACCACATCTGAGGGCCTGGGACTGAGGTCTTCATTGCATCTTTCGGGGGACATAGTGAACCCATCACACCTCCTCCTTCATGCCCTGCTCATCGGAGGGCAGAGTGGACTTTTGTGCCTCACTTCACTTCGGGCTCAGCCAGGGGACTTGCTTTGGCCAAGGGATCTGAACGGCTGTGACAAGCCCTCTCCCAGCAGAAACTTCAACGTGCTCAGGTGGTTTGGCCCCACCTGTCTTGCGCCTGAGAACAGTGGGCCCCAGGTTTGGGGTACTCCTTCAGCCTTAGTTTTAGGAAAAGAAAGACGTGCAGATCACAACAGAGCCCAGCGGAGGAGAGCAGGGCCGCGGCCGGTCTCGGCCCCGCGTGCACGAGGAAGAAACAGCCGCTTGTGGTGAGCTCCTGAGATGCTGGGATTCTCTGTCCCTGCAGCAGAAGCTGAGTATTACTTCAATTATCCGCGTAACTAATGGCCGGAGGGAACTGCAGATGCAAGCTGAAAGCTGACATGACAAAAATATTTAGAAACTCCATCACACACCTCAAAAATATTCTATTATTTTAAAATGCCATCACCGCTAATAAGAGCTCAATGGCATCCACTTCCCATAGTTTGATTAGACAGCCATATGGATTTAGCTGAGATCTGACTTGATAATGCCTGTGAGTTACTCAGAGACCGTTCAGCTGCAAACTGCAGGAGGCAGGGATGGCGTGTCCTGTACTGGGCCTCGCCAGGGGCTTGAGACTGTCTGGGATTCCTAATGACTGGGAGGTTCTGGCCCGGGCCTTGAAAGGCACTGGGACGTTCGGCAGACCAGGGCCTTTGTCTCGCCCGGTCGTAAGCCATGACTGTTCTAGGAAACCTCTTGTCACTGCCATATCTTTGGAACTCATTTTTCCCAGTTGCCGGGGCGGTTTTGCTCTGGGGTGATTCGGATCTGACAAGGGTTCACCTTCTAGCCCTTGAGCTCCAGGCTAGCACTGGGAAGCCAGGCCTTCGACCCCACTGCAGGGATCCATCCCGAGGGCCTTTGTTTGGATGTATGGGAGGTTATGACTGCTGGGTCTAAGTCATGCCCGGTACACAGCATGGGCTCTCAGGAAAAGCTCGGGAGTGACTGAAAGGCCCTTCACATCTGTGTGTGTGCTCCCAGGTCCACGAAGCATAGGAGGCAGCTCTTGGAAGTGTAAAATATCCTGCCTGTGTGAGCAAGATGCCAGGACACCCCCCTCATCATGGAGGTGGCCTGGAGGGTGAATGGGGTCCCAGGGCCTTTGAACTGGAATGCCAGGATTTGAACTCAGGGCTCTCTCACTCTGAGGTCCTTCTGACAGTGGTTGTGATGAGGAGATGCTGAGATTTTTAGGATAGCACAAGGCCCTCCTGCTCGTAGACTCTCCCCGCCAACCCCTGCGGCCCCTCTAGTTCACACAGGTGGCCTTTTGGTTCATGCCCTGTATCCACATTCTTACTCTGCCTTTGCCATCCATGGATATTTTAGGAGGGTGGAACTGGTTAGATGTTCATCACACTGACAGGTTGGGAGGAAGATGGGGAGTCCTGTCTGGGGAAGGAGGGAGGGTTGGGAGGTGGGGGGCTTCTCCTCCAGGTTGCAGAACTCTGTAGCTCTGTGGAAACAGCAGAACCTGAAGGCTCCTTGTGGGACTGAGAGAGGAAGAGGACACTGGGTATAGAATGGACAAAGGGGGCTGAGGGGCCACAGGGGGTGCAACACTCTGGGGCTGTGAAGAGCAGAACTTCTGTGCCAGGGAGGGAGACAAGCCAGGTTCAAGGTTTGCCAAAACCCCGGAGCCATGCTGGAGGCTGCGGAATGCTCTGCTTCTGAGGAAGGTGGTTGAGGGAGCTGGACGGCTCCAGATGGGGTCTGAGCACTGACCCGCTCTGCACAGGTCCTGGCTGCTTCCCAGCCTGGCTCTGAGGGCCCCACAGCTTCATCCCATGTCCCCACCCAGTGTCCTGACCCAAAACTGCGGGGCAGCTGTGCTTGCTTGTGAATGGAGCCAGGCTGAGTTATTTCAAGAGCTGGCAAGCGTCTCCAGCACCCTGGCATCCAGATGGTCCGAAATCGCTGATCAAAGCTGTCAGATGATGCAGCAGTCTCAGCGGGGAGGGTTTGTTAAGTGGAAGCACCCAGCCTTTGGGGCTTCAGCTGACCAGGAATGAAGGGGTTAAGAGAAATCACGCCTCCCGCTGGGAGGGTCCACTGGGGTGACTTGCAGATTAGGATCAATTCTCTTCAGTGTCTGTCCTTGATCTCAGGGTGACTTGTGGGAAGTGAGTTTTCTTGGCTTTGATTCCAGAGTGGTGTCAGTCCAGGACTCCTGTGCCTGGCGTGTTCGTCCCCCCAGGCCCAGCGTCACGCCCTGTCCTGGGCAGCTCTCCATCCAAGGGAAGGACAGACAAGGGAAGAGGGAATGACAGTGTATCCAGGGAGACAGGCAGGACGAGGCCCTGCCCAGGGACCTGTCGCCTCCACAGACTCATTACAAGGAGCTATCATGCAAGGTCCCGCCTGCTCCCTGGAGAAAAGCAGGGAAGGGAGGTGCAGAGGTCACGCCAGCCACTGCAAGGAGGAAAAAGTCAGGAACTCAGCATTGTGACGTCCTCAGAAGCCACTTGGCTCCTGGGTTTCAGCTCCCCAAGGAGCTTCAGTGAGGACGAGGCTCAGTGGAGACAGATGACTTGTCTCATTTATAGTTGCTTCCTTGGCACTGTCCACCTGGGAGATGCAGAGTGAACACTGCCAGGGTGTTGCCATGGGCCTGTCAGATGCTGTGTCTCTGGGGTTACAGGGCTGATGAGGTGGGAGCCTTGAGGCAGGACCCCAGAGCCCAGGCTGTGGCCCCAGTGGAGGGCCATGGAAGACGGCTCGCTCAGCTCTGCCTCGTGGGTTTGTGGCTCTGCTGGAAGTTTGGAGGTTGTGTTAGATTCCTGCAGCTGCTAGAACAACCTGGAGGCTTAGACCCATGGAAATTTATTCTCTTGCAGTCCTGGAGGCCAGAGCCTGAAATCGAGGTGTGGGCAGGGCTGGCCCTGGGCTACTTCCTGGCCTCGTCTGGCTCCTGGTCTCTGCCTCTGTCCCCACGTGGCTTCCTTGTGTGTACTCCAATGTCTGTTTTCTCTTCTTATAAGGACACTGGTCACGTTGGGTTAGGGTCCACCTTCATTCAGTGTGACTTCATCTCACGGCTGCAAAGACCTCATTCCCAAATACGATCACATAACGGAGTTCCAGGTGGATGTGAATCTTTGGGGGACAGTGTTAACCCAGCACTGGTGAGGAAGGAGGCCGAAGCATCTAAGACCACCTCCCCCTTGACTTCCACATTTCATTTCAATGGGAGAAGTAAAGGCTGGCAGACCTGGTGCCACCGTAATCGCACTCCCACAGGTCACAGTCATGGCGTGGAGGAATCTTCCCAGAAGGAATTGCTTTTACTTAAGATCGAACTCCCACCTAAGCCACATACCCCAGGCCTACGCCACGGACCAAGACCCTTTCGCATGTAAGTTCTAGAGTTGTAAGCCTTTAAAAGGGCAGGGACTTTCTTTGTGAGCTCTGGCTTGGCTGCTAGGCAGCCATGCCCCTTTGTTCCCGGCCGAATAAATCACCCCTTCCTTCCCAGTTCAGTGTTCAAGAAGTTTGTTTCTTGAGGCCATTCCCGCTTTACTAGGAGCAGGAAATGTGGGTTCAGACAAGCAGTCACGGATGCGGTCTCTTGCGACTTGACTTGTTCCTGGGCTTGTATTTGGGTATTGGAATCAGAAAGTCCATTCTGGGGCTTCTCCCCCATCTCTCTCTGATGGGGGTCCATCCTTTGAGCCTCAACTACACCTGCAGGCTGCTCAGGCAGGAGGAGCCTGGATTCTCCTCTGCACGTGGAGCTGGCCCTGGCCGCCAGGCTGAGCTTTCTGCCACATCAGAACTGATTGGGATCGTGTCATTGAAGGCTCCTCTTCAAATCAACTTGGGAAAGATCAATGACCAATTCTCACACAAGAGAGGCCCTCGCTCGAAAACCACCCTTCGAGCTGGATCATTCTCCACTCCGGCTTTTATGACCCAGATGAGTTTTTCTTGAACTGTGAAACACGAATGGATACATTTCAGAGAAATGTGGCACTGGCAGACCCTCAACCAAGCAGTCTTTCAAGCAAGACTCACCATTTTAGACACCTGGTGAGGCATTCGTGGCAGGAGGGCCCCTCGAGGGATGGATGGGGGCCTGCTGGAAGGCTTGGTGGGAGAAGAGCTGCCTTCAGCTTTTAATTGAGCAAGTGTCCAGG